TTGAACATTATGGAATTTCAAGAAAATTAAACAATAGCTTTTAGCAACTGTTGCAGTGACATTCCCTCTCAGAGCTGTGCATCACATTCAGTGGTAGCTCCTGTTAGTGAGTGACCACCTGGGGAGAGTTCAGACAAAAGGAACCACAGCAGGTTTGGAGGGACTGACAAGAAAGATGAAAAGAGCAATCTCTGGGCAGATCTTGATTTAAAGGTGTCTGGGTGCAGCAGAATGAACATGACAGAAATGACACATATATGAAGATTATAAGTAACTGTTATGGATAGAGAATAACTAATTAGAGTTGCAAGAAATCAGGTGACTTGAGACATTTCAATGCAAGGAAAGATGGATAATAAAGCATAGTGTCACAGAAAATGTTTTGACAATCACATTTTGTAGTAATTGTAGCCCCCCCTTGCTTGGATAATTTAAAAACACCAGGAGAAATGAGGCATTTAAAACATAGTACCAGCTGCAATTCAGATTTTTGTTCTCTCCTTTTGGTGCTGTGTGATTTGCTCTGACAGCACAAGTTTGTCTACAGTTGAGATGATTCCAAAAGCTTTGGTTCTGAAATTAAAATCTCCAAAATGAAACATTAGATCTAAGTTATTGCCTCTCCCCAAAATACTTTAATGCCTACTGATTGCCTCCCATTTTCTCAATTAAAGATTCTTTAAACACACTACTGGAAGTGTCTTTTCTTTCATTAGACTAGCAGCCTGGATTTCCCATTCCAGCTGATCTCTGGGAAAACAAAATTGGAAGCAAAGTATTTAAAGGCCAGCCTATTTAATTTCATTTTCCCCTGTTCTTTGTTAAAAGAAGACAAGTTACTGCACTTCCTTTTGTCTGCAAGAAACTTTTGGAGAATAGTCAGCATTTGGGCAAGATTGGTCTGTCTCTGTGTTTCTTTTGGAGCAGGAGCCAGAGTTCTTGTTATTGAAATCTGAAATAAAGGCAATATGCACTCCAAGACTGCCTCTTAAAACCTAAGTAATCTTTCATCTTAGGATGAAAGATCAGTTGCTCTATTAAGAAAAACTTTTTGCTGCCACAAGATTAACAAAATTTGCAGGGTCCCCAAAAGACTTTCACCTGTGTTAAAAAAATCACCTCCAGCAGATGATTCATAAGGAAGAAAATTAGAAGACGTCATGCTCTTCCATGACTTTGCAGGCAAGAAGAACAAGAAATATCAGCTTCCCAAAGCACTAGAGAAGCCTGATTAAAATTATTCATGATATAATAAGCTGTAGTGACTGATCTGATGGCAACTGTAATTACCCACGTTCTTTCCAGACAGGATGAATCCTATAGTCTGAAGCCCTTCTCATCTTCCTTTCCCTTACATCACCTTTTTAGGCCATAAAACTTTGGTGAAAGACAAGATTCTAGACAAGATTCATTAGTAGATCAGCATCTTTTTTATGGGATGGGAAACCCAATTTTAAGGAGGCCCATGTCATGTTTCTGCATAACAAAGTGCTCATGGCTGTGAGTTGAATCTGGATCTGAATGGATGTTGTAATTCCATAATGGACACTGTTCCTTTATACAGAACAAGTTTTACTGTACTCCCTACTTCTCATGTTCCTGTGGTAAAAGGCTTTAGATCTAAATTTCATGGTTGCTGTATGTATAGAGGAAATAAATAAGATAGGATTCAATTATTATGGGATTCATTCATTAGCACCTACTACCCCCCCATTCTCCTTCATACTGGTTTTAACAAGTGTTGACAGATAATCCATTGCCTCACGGGCTAATGTAACACTGAAAAATCCAGACATCCAGCTGGATTGCAATCTCCAAGACAGGCAGGAGAGGCAGCTTTGCCACCCTACCCAAAGAGCTACAATTACTGACAGTCTCCACTGTAGGAGAGGAGAAATCTTAAACCAACATTATTTAGAAACTTGTCAAGTGCCTTCTCTTTTGGACAAGTTGGCAAAGAGAGCAGTACAATTTTGTTTCTGACAAATCATTATCTACATTTGGGGATAAGTCTAGCCTCTAAACAAGCAAATCCATTGTTTTCCTGTTTAGCCAGCAGGATATAAAAATAAATATCTGACAAACACACGCAAGAGAAACAAAGAGAAATGACAGCCCCGTGTGATAAAAGCCAAAGTTCTTCAAGATCCTGCCTGTGAAAGTGCACATTATATAAAGCACTGCTGATTAATTGGAGGGATGACAGGTGCATCCACAGAGATGGAAAGTTTTGCACTTCTGACTCCCAGCTGTGATATTTTAACAGGGAGAAGGCATTTGCTACTTTGCTGAGAGAACAGTGTTGATACAGTAAAACATAATTTTCAAATTTAGGAAAGTCCTGAGAGCAAGAAGTCATGAAGCATTTTGAAGTGAGCACAGGCATATGCAGTTAATTCATTCAGAGATGGGTAAACACAGGCACAGATTACTATCTTCTATTTCTAGACCACATTTTTACAGTTTCAATTTGAAAGCTACAGTCTAGAGTACAAAATTAAATGTGTTTCAAAGGGTCAAGACTTTAAGAGGTTTCTTGGCATCTAAGAATGCAAACAAGTCCCAGGACAGATCTTGTTCTGTGCTCTTTTACATGGATAGAATTAAACCCTCCTGAAAATGTCTTAGAAAAGCAGTTGCTTGTAGCTCCTCAAGCACCTATTGTCAGTGCTCTTCACATCTAAGAGGCCCATAGCCACACCAAGATCATGAAACTCCAACTTACCTTCCCCTTCTAAAAGTGCTTTAAAAAAAAATAAAAATCTTCCCCTGTATCAGTACAAATACCAGATGGGAAAGAGTGGCTATGAATTTTCCCCATTTCACTTAATCACTGGCATTTTCCAGCACCTGGAAATGTATTAATTGTTTCAACAAAAAGCCTCACCATTGATAAAAGATCTCAAAGCATTGTTTTAGCAATGAAAGCTGCACAAAGCTCACCTGCTGTAAATGAAGCATCCCATGTGGTTGATCTCTTTGTCTAATTTGTACCTCCGAAAGTCCTCCCAAGCGTCTTTAATGGCCGTGACGGCCATAATGACACAGATGGGGATCAGGGACACCTCTGGTTGGAAAGCATTCACCACGGGTACAAAATTCAGCAGAGCAATGAACACAAAATAGATGTTGGCAAAGCGGTGAAACTGCTCGTAGATATTTTTAGGGAGGAAAGTCAGGATGGTATATTTTGTGGTCTTAATTTTATTGGAGCCATAGTGTCTGTTTGGATTTTCCTTCCACTTCTTACTTCCAAAGGGCAAATTGGAGATGATCACTCGTTTATTTTCATTTTTCTTCTTTCTTTTCTTTACTTTTCCTCTCTTCTCCAGCTCCTCATTTTGAGTTTCAGTGTCTGAGGAACCAAAGTGGCAGCAGGTTTCCTTGAAGAAATGTTTCTTCCATACCATTCTAGAGAAGCAGCCTGGAACAATCCTCCTTGACATCTTGTTTTCCTCTCAAAAAGTAGCTTCGAGTTGAAAACCAACAAAGTTAGAAGAGTTCAATAATCCAAAGGAACTGCCAAGCGGTGGAGGGAAGGGTTGAGGTGTCCCAAGCCCAGAGCTGCCTCTCCTTCTGCTGCAGCCTCCGCCTCCCCAGGGCCAGGGATCAGCCTGACTCAGCTGCACAGGTCCCAGAGCCTGCTGGGGAGGCTGCACCTCACCCGGGGCAGAAGCACCTGGAATGTTTGGTTATTCCTGTCGGCAAACGCCGGCAGGCTCAGAGCATTTCCCTGGCACTGCCTCGCTGCTCACACAGTCTCTGCTCCCACCCTGAGCAGTGCCAGAGCACAGGGCACACTCACAGTTGTCTCAGCTCACTCCAGGAGTTTCAGGATCACTTTATGGCCCTGGGAGTTGCCAGGAAGCTCAAAGGTAATGGGCTGAGCTGCACGTCCCAGATGTCAACAAAAGATTGCTCCAAGCCTCAGTTCAGACACTATTTCTCTTCTACTTCCTCTATCTACTATTTGGTTTCATGATCGTAACATGGATTATTAAACAACCAAGCAACTCCCACCTCCCAAACCAAGTAAACCTACGATTTGGCAGTTTTGGGGATTGTACATAGACACAGGCAAGTGAAGGGCAGCGTACCTGGATTGCCCCTCAGACCAATCCTTCTCCTCTGATAGACCCAAAACCTCCCTCTCTTATCCAGTCACTCCTTCCAGTCTCTCATTTCTCCTTCCCCTTTGGTCCCCATGCCTCTGACACATAAATATGTCATTTCCAGGAGAGCTAATGACGTGTATGCAAAGCAGAGTAATTTTTTCTCTGTAGCCTGGTCTTAAGGGGAGGTGAAAAAAGGAAGAGACCTAAATATTTAAACTTCTGAATGCAAACTCTTATCTACTGCATTATATAGTGACAAGCTGAGCAGTCTCAAGTCAAGTTGGTGCTTGGACAAGAAACTCTGATGAAATGGAAATGTTGCAACAACAATTACACGTGAAATTATTTCTTCCTTCTGAGTCACTACTGAGCAAACAGCTCCCTGCAGGTGTTGTACCATCCCAAAGCCAGGCCTGTATTGATCCCTCTGCTTACTGGAAGCCCTAGAAATTATTTTTCAGTTCCCCATCATGACTCACCTTGAATGTTGTTGATCACTAATTTTTTATTAATGGGTTCAGTGTGAAACTTAATTTTTTTAAACAGCCCCAGTTATCCTTTCCAAACTTGGATAAGTTTCATTTTTCCTCCAGGTCCTTCTGCTCCCTGGAGAGGATGTTGTGTGAGTTGGCAAGCTGGTTTGAAAACTTGGAATGGAAATCTGTGTATCAGCACACACTGCTGGGATATGTAACAAAGCTCCAGTGATACTGAGATGATTTCAGTGAGATAAGTAAGGCATTTTAAAGGTAGAACAAATTCTTTTATAAGAGTTTTTTCAAATTTACAGTGCTCTGAAGGGTCAATGAGGGGATTACTGCACAACCAGATGAACAGTTTCCACCACAACAAATGCAAGAGAAAGAATTGGTTTCATTTACTTACTTGTCGTATACCCTGGTCTTAGAGGAGTTTATTGCCTTGTCATATTGGTGTTTTCTGTAGTCCTCAACAGCATCCTTAATCATGCTGGCAAGCAGCACCACAACCAGAGGCAGCAGAGTAACCTCCCTGTGGAAGACTTCCACTTGTGGGAACCAGCTCAGAACCATCAGAAAGAAGAAGTAAAGATTGCCCAGCCTGAAAAAGTAGAAAATAAATTAAAAGTAGTCAGAAATTAGAATGCGTCTTTTCCTTAATGAACAACACCCATTTTGTGCCAAAGGAACATTAATCATTCCACTCTTATGCCCTCCTTTTCCTTTCTCCAGAATGAATCAATCAGTTGCTTAACCAAGTTGATAATTATTTCTTTAGAGGAGCCTGTGAGATGCACTTTGATACTATGATAGCTAACTCCCTTTCCCCACATATTACAAACACTGTTTACCTCCAGGAGCTCCAAGGTCTTTAATGACCCCCCACCACCTCATATAAATAAGCAGAAAATCAAACAGAAGCCAAAGAAACCTTAAAAAACCAAACCAGTGACTGAAATGTCCTGGTCAGGAATCCATGAAGGATTCCACAAGTGGAAGGTCAAATCATGAATGTGTACATCTAATATACAGAATGAAAATTTCAAGGCTAGAGATGAATATACAATTTTCATTTCTCTTTAGCATAATGATATCTCCCTGGGCATCTTTTTGACAGGATTAATTATGCTGGGGGGGTACATAATTTGAAACCAGCACCTGGACAGAAACCTGATCTGCACTTGCACATAGATTTATACTGTTTCAAGGTTGGTAGACAGTTACTTCATGACATTAAAAAGATATCAAAATTGAGCTGCTGAAATCCATAGAATTTTCTCAACACATCCAATTAATCCTTTCTGTGTTCTTAAAAATCAAGAGTTTATGAAAACAGAGGGATGTTTAAATTTCTACCAAGAAAACTGTTCCAGCATTCAAATAAGAAAGCTGGTCACAGCAGTGTCAGACACTGCCAGTGCTGACTTCCTTCAATCCCCCATTTCAGTGTGAACTGAGTGACATTTGCTTACAAATAATCATCACCTAAGTTTTAGTGCCATCGCCACTACACATGGCCCCTCTCCATTACTCTCAAATATCACTGTTTCAGAGAGAGTCCTAAAATCTCATGGATCACTGAATGATTTCTTTTTACCTGTGAAACTGTTCAAAAAGATTTTGGGGCAAAAAAGTGAGCCATGTGTACTTTGTGGTCTGTATCCTGTTTCCAGAATGAAAGGTAGAAGCTTGTTTCCAGTCTTCCCACTGTCTCCCACTGCCAGGAAACACGATCCTCCATTTGTTTGGGTTGAGTTCTGGTTTGTCTCTGACAGAAAACAGCAGTGGTGTGGATTCCTGGGAGGGCTGTGGAGCTCCCAGTCGCTGCCAACGGCACCAAGCCGAGTCCACAGACAAAGCCATTCCCAGCAGGGGGGTCAGGCTGTAAGACAAATGCATGACAGGCACTGACAACCACTTCCATTCTGCTAGAAAATTCACTTTGTGTCTGTGAGCAGAGGTTTAACACCACAAACAATCCTCCTACTCAGTGCATTGCATGCTCAGCCTCTGACCTCGGAATTTTGCAGAGAATGCACAGAATAAAAGATACAACAAAACCTTCAATATGGAAAAATCTATTTCTATCTCTGGGGGAAAAATAATCCAAAACTAGCGTGGATAAGGCCAATTTATCAGAGGGGAACAATGGTTTTTCCATCACGAACTCTGTATCATTTTTTTCGGTCATAAAGTGCCACCAAATCTACTCAGGCATTTTTCTTCAAATGTCTGACTTTCATACAATACCCTTTCCTGTTCATTCTTACTTAAAAGGGGACTGGTTCAGGTGTTGAATATTAATAGCTCAGACAATAAAGAACTGCAGCATCATCTCATTTCATTTACACTCACATAGCGGTTTCCCAGAGTCTCCAAAGGAACCTGGTTGGAATGGAAAATGCCAGTGCTCAGTGCAGCCCAACAGCAGCTCAGCACTGTCAGACCTGGAAACCAAGGGGGACAAAAAGAAGCCTTTTTGTCCTTAAAGCCACAAAAAGCTAGTAAGGGGGAAGCAGCCTGGAGAAATTATTCAGGCAAGTCACACAGAGGAATAACCCAGACCATTTCCCCTCTCTTGCTGTATAATCACAGCAGCACAGACTGTTGGTGTCTCATTGTCCAGTCTTCTCTGAAGGTTAGGAACCTCTTTGCCCTCTTTCTTTCCATTCCATTCCTGATGGATGGACTGGGGGCAGTTTCCAACAGGGCAGACACAGTTTTCCCATCTGGTTTTCTAGGGAGAAAACATCAGTGCAATCCAGCCTAGGACAAGTCCTCTCCCTCCTTGTGTAGATGTCCCTCAAAGTCTTCACACCCACAGAGGTATATTCATTATATAAAATTATAATGCATATTTACCTATTTTATTCTTCCTTTTAGGAAAAGTGCTCCTTCCCACAGTCCCAGTTTTTGTCACTCTTCTCTGACTGTCCAGTGGAGTTACTGCAGTGTCAAGAGATGGGCAAAAAGTTAAAGGTGTCTTGGTGTTTCCATTCCTGAACGTCTGCATTTGGAATAAACAAGACAAGAAACATAGAAATGATTAAACTAGAAGTGATTAAACAGTTTTGTAATGGTGCTCTGGAAAAGCTCCTGTTTGTGACAAGCCATTGACTCTCCTGCCTCCTGTGGGGATTTTGCACAGCAATATATTCACTGCAATCAGAGCTGGTAACTCTACCTTCTAAAACCAAAGGCCACCATTTGTGTTTAGAAAGCTTCTTTTATTTCCTTCTTCCTGCATTTAATCAGTGGATGAAACTGTCCCCATTGATAAGATTTGAGCTCTGTGTCTGCCCTAAACATCAGTCAGTGTACTGCTGGTTTAACCTGCACTCTGATAAGCTTTCCCAGGCAGGCCTTGCCTGTATCCAGAACATAAAGTATCCAGGGCACGTGAACACGTTTGGAAAGTGGAGAGAAACAGGATAAAGATTTATTCCTTTTGTTGGGTGAGGAGCTGAAAGGCACAGTGGGTCTGCAGAGACATTTCAGCCACAAACTTCTTTATCTGCTTTGCAATTACCTACTAGAAATGTCTTTCATTTTTTGGTGATACTATATAGAAACTCTTCCTCAGTCACAGTTCAGAGAAAATATTTTGTGGTTAAGACTGCCAGAAAAAGGAATGGAGATTGGGAAGAATGAGGAAGGAATTACATTGATTAGCAGGATACAAACCACAGCCTAAAATTATCCTTTAGCATTTCATATTAGATATATCTTTACAGTATGAATGTTGCTACAATTAAAAAAGACCTCCAAAAATCTACTTCGTTCAAAAAAACCTGGTCAATGCAGACTATTGTCATTTAACTAACAAAAGAAATGTAATATGGATTAACAATTATATAATGGGTTTGAGTGCAAGGCTGTGTTTGTCAGGGATACACAGAAAAGAGCTTTTCATAAATCTGGTGTGTCATCAGACCACAGGGCTTCACTCTTCTGCTACACAATTACATTGACACCTTTTTCATGTTTTGGCTAGATTCTCTCTCCTCTCGAAATAAACTCCAAAATCTTGCAATAATAGGTTAATTAGAAGACTCTTTGCTGAGGACAGACCAGATTTCAGTGCCTGATGCAGAACCTTCCTGGAGCTCGAGCATGTTCAGGCACAGCACTCTTCCCCAGGGCTGCAGCTGTGTTATTAAGGCTGGTGTCAAAATAGATGTGCTCTCAGCATATGCTGACATACAGGTCCTGCAGACAAGGATGATTATCAGATATTATTCAAGAGGGAAGTTTCCAGCTTGCAAACAGTAATGCTGGATGCTGGTTTTAACTTCATTCTGTGAATAAGGAGCTTGCTCTGGGGTCCCACATTATGTGCTCATTTAAATAGAGAGTTAGACTGAAAGTCTCTGGCTATGTGCAAGGAGCATCACTGCTGCCAGCACTCCCAGCACTGTGGGGATCTGCTGGTGTTACATTTGGGCCCCCTGTATTTCACACTGCAGGCAGAGGAAACTTCTGCACCGTTCCCACCTTCTAACAGGGGGATTGCATCCGCCCCCCTCACATCTTCACCTGAGGAGACTTCGGGAAATGGTTTACAAAGTCCAGAATGGCAAGGTGTTACTTGGAGAATCAGACTGAAAGGGCAGCCAGGGATGTGGTTTCCATGAGTTTTCTTGTGGCTTCTTATGGCAGTGAATTCCACTATACATCCTAAAAATGTTTTATGTGCATATATATTTTCAAGTAAGTTTCAAACATGGTTGGGAAAATTCTATCTTTAAGGATTTCAAAAGTATTAAAGGATTGTGGGCCCAGTTATCAACTTTCTTGTTGGGCTCTGAACAATCTAAAACCCATACTGGAGTGGCAGAGTGTAATAAACCCTCCAAAACATAAATTAAGTGTGACTGGAGTAACTCAGCTTAAGCAAAGTAACTTCCAGGGCAGACCCAACCCAGGTGGCCTCAGCAAAGCCCTGGCTAAGCCATCTCCACCCAGATGCTGGGGAAGGGAAGGCACAGACAGGCAGGGATGGCAGAGAGGGGAGGCAAGGCAGCCTCAGGGAAAGGCAAAGTGAGGCAAATTGTAGACCCACTGGACTGGAAGCTCATTTAATCAGCAAAGATTTACCTGATAGACTGAAACGCATCCAGCCCAGTGTCTGTGTCTGGGTGGGGCTTTGTGCACAGCTGCCTCTTGTTTTTCTGAATATAACACACGAGAAACATTCCCATTGCTGCAGGTTGGGGAAGCATTCCCTTGTGCTCTCATCTGGCTATTCAGAAGTCCTTTTCTGCTACTGAAAAGAGACTAATATTTGTTTCAATCCAACGTATGCCTCTTTCTCCAGCTCTCTGAGTGGTCCTGCACACTACTTAATTAGAAGACCATGTATTTCAAACTCCAGCAATGGCAGAATTTAGTTACATTTTAGCCCAGAAATGAGGACACCAAAATTAGGGCAATTGTCTGAACAATATTTTTTTTTTGTTTGTTCCACTTAATATTCAAAATCAAAGTGAAGTGGCCTTTAAAAGACAATCTAATATTTATAGAGTGTATGATTATAAAGCACTTAGGATCAAAATTATGTTGCAGATGTTCATGTGGGAACTCAGCAATGCTGAAAAATTCCAAAAGGAAGCAGAAAAATTGAAAATAAACTGGAAAGTGACCAGAAGATCCTTTATATGTAAAAACCTTTTATGCAACTATATTTTTGTCAGAATGTGCTGACTCTAATTTCAGTTCTCCAAATCTGAATATTAAAGTGCCTCAAAGAGAATAGCTACTTATTTATGTGAATGGAAAGAAAAAACCAGAGTGGCTAAAAAGGTTGCCAATTCACCAGGGCACAGCTCCACGTCAGTCAAAGATCCAGGGAAAGCTCCAGCAGGATCTAGTCACAAGAAGTGTTGAGGGAACGTCCAGTAACACCTGGGCTGGGGAACCAACACAAGCTTGTTCTGCTTCTGTCCAGAGCAATTACTGTCAGACAGCTTTGACAGAATTCCTGGCAGTGCTGGACCACAAGGAGAACACCAGACCTGAGAGGACCACGTGAACTGCTGGAGGATGGACACAGCTTAAGATGCAGGAAGCTGATCTCCCCTTCCTGCTCACAGCTTTCTTTGGCCTCGAAGACCACCACAAATATAAGAATCTGAGCACAAAATGCATAATAATAGCATGTACTTGTGAAGTGCTCCTTGGAAGCATTAATTCCTTTTTAAAAACAGCAGCAAGATTCCCTACAACCCTATATCTCTCTTTTTTTTAAGCCTATACTGTATTCCTCCATAGATAAGGTAACTGGGGTGTACATATTTGCATTTAAATAACCTAGATAGATAAGATAACGCGAGAGAAACTATTTTATAATGCCACAAAACAGTGCAATACAAGAGAGACCTGCAGCCAAGTCTTCCCAACAAATCCTGAAGCATTACAACTGGTCCCAGAGTGTGTGAAAGAGCTTCTCTACCACTGCTTCCCAAAGTGGTGTTCCTGTCAGAGCAGCCTACTGGAGTGTTACTAGAGTGATTTCAAGCTGAGGTTTTTGCTTTTAAAAGCACCTGATTGTAATTTATGTCTTCACACTGAAGTTGATTACAACCTGCTGGTACTGGGGCACTTGACTCAGTCATCTCCAGCTATTAACTGAGCTGGGCTTGGCTCTAACCCTGAAGTGGATGATGGAAACCATAATTGTTTAACAGCTTTGCTTTCAGTAGGCAATACTATGAGCCTGGGAAGTTGTCAGTCTAACTTCCTGGAATTTTACTCATTTATTAGTTATCTTATGTAAGCCCAGCTGACCTGCTGGAAACAATGGAACTTCCTTTAAATTCAGAGACAGATTCAAACCCTTAAATTGTGTTTCTTCTTCTTTTCTATTT